GGCTGGGGCTTAAAGAAGATATTTCCAACTCTGGACTAGCGCGGGGTATCTGTTCATCCTCTTGGCTGAATCAATCAATCGAGAGCGGTGACGAGAAATGTTCCAAAATATATACTAGTATAGATCATGTCGCCATCGCACGACAGCCCGACAACCGTGCTGACTCTACACAGCACGAAACGAAGTGAATAACAGCCCTCCTCCTTCGTGTTTTCTTGTTGGACAAGTGTCTCTTTCAAATGTGGTGTATGCTCTGTACCTCGCTCCTCTCTTATATCACGACGAAGTGTAGCTCATAATCCTTTGTTCCTCCGCTCATCCAACAAACCCTTCTGATCATCTGTGAGCTTCACTTCGACAAGCCTCTCTCCATCTTCATTGCTAAGTAGGCAGGCTGATCGCTTCAACCTTGCTGCTTGCTCCTTTTTACATACTATACACCTCCGTATATAAGTTGGGCCATCCCGCCACTCATTCCCAGCCTCTTCCCTCATCAACTAGCCCTCTGCTTCCTGATTCAAACAACCGTTACCTTCTTTCAGCCTTTACTCTAGGCCTCTGTTTCTCAAGTCATACTCGCAATAACTCGCTCGTCGCTTCGTCTTTTGACTTCCTCTGCCCTCTTTTGGGGTTCTCTTTTCCACTATGGCTCCTGATATCGATTCTATCCCCCACGGTCCCAACGGCCATGGATCAAAACCGGCCGGGCTTAACGGTGGTGGCGCCACCCAGAACTTTAAAACTGAGGGGCCGCCAAACATCCTCTTCATCATGGCAGACCAGTTGGCTGCTCCTCAGCTCAAGATGTACAATCCCGAGTCTCAGATCCTCACACCAAACTTGGACGCACTGGCGGCCAAGTCAGTCCAGTTTGACTCGGCCTATTGCCCCTCTCCCCTGTGTGCGCCATCTCGCATGAGTCTTATATCGGGTCAATTACCGATGAAGATTGGAGCTTTTGACAATGCGTCCCAAATTGGTAGCGATGTGCCCACATATGCTCACTACTTGCGGCTCAAGGGCTACCACACCGCATTGGCTGGCAAGATGCATTTCGTTGGAGACCAGTTGCATGGGTACGAGACTCGTCTGACCAGTGACATCTATCCTGGCGACTTTGGCTGGGCCGTCAACTGGGATGAGCCCGACAGGCGATTGGAGTGGTACCACAATGCAAGCTCCATCTTGCAGGCTGGAACATGCGTGCGGAGCAACCAATTGGACTACGACGAAGAGGTTATGTATAAATCGACTCAGTTCTTGTACGATCAAGTTCGAGAGGGCCCTGATAACCGCCCATTTTGTCTCACGGTATGTAATATCTAACTTGTTACCTTCTCGTGGAAATATTTGATTACGACTTCGCCGTCAAAAGTATACGGCTCTTGAGACTAGTGATGAACCAAAACTAATCAATTTTGCTCATGAACAGCTGTCTCTCACCCATCCCCATGATCCTTACACCATCGAAGAAAAGTACTGGGATCTATATGAGGGCGTGGATATTGCTTTACCCAAGGTCAAAATCCCCCAAGAGCAACAGGATGCGCACAGTAAGAGGCTCTTAAATGTGTGCGATCTTTGGGACCAGGATTTCACCGAGGACCAGATTAAACGCGCACGAAGGGCGTACTATGGTGCCGTCAGCTATGTGGATGACTGCGTTGGACGTATTCTTACGACGTTGAAGAACTGCCGGCTTGACAAGAACACTATTGTTGTCTTCAGCGGCGACCATGGCGATATGCTTGGAGAACGTGGCCTTTGGTACAGTTCCTCTACCGGCACGACCATCTGTTCACTGCTAACTGGGCCGCAGGTACAAGATGAGCTACTTTGAGTCGTCTGTCCGTGTCCCCTTACTGATCTCAGATCCCCGCCGGTTTACACCTCACCGGGTTAAGGAGAATGTGTCTACTCTAGATATCCTCCCAACTCTCTGTGATATCGTTGGCACCCAGCTGATACCTGGACTACCGATGGATGGTATCTCCTTGGTACCTCACCTCGAGGGCAGGCCAGGTCACGACACGGTCATCGCCGAGTACACGGGTGAGGGCACTATCAGCCCTCTCATGATGATCCGACGCGGTCCTTGGAAGTACATCACCTGCCCAACGGATGCGCCTCAGCTCTTCAACCTCGAGAAGGACCCACTGGAGCTGGTCAATTTGGCCGAACTAGTAGACAAGACTGAGGGACTGACGGCTGACGAAGAGGCCGCCAAAGCTAAGTTTGAAAAGTTCGAGGTTGAGGCTAAAGCACGGTGGAACTTCGAGGCTATCACACAATCTGTCCTCCAGTCTCAGAGGACTCGGCGACTCGTGTGGGATGCCCTCAAGGTCGGAAAGTTCGATCCTTGGGACTACAATCCGAACGACAACGGTACCAACAAGTACATCCGCTCGTTCTTGCCTCTTGACGACCTTGAGCGGCGGGCTCGTTACCCTCCTGTCGACAAGTACGGGCGGGAGACTAGAGAGATTATTGTTGACCAGGCGGGATCACACAACGAATAGACCCTCGAATAGACCCCCGTCTATTCCGCATATGACTGCCGCCAATTGAGCATTTTAATATGCTTGGGCCGACCATCTTTATTCGAACTACAACTGTCTGCCATCCATGAATTGCAGGCTTCTTTGCATTTGCTTGACCTCCATTGATGCGACCTTAGCGAGGCGAGTTACGGATATCATGGGATAACAATCGAATTCTATTGCTACCTTAGTGTTTTTAAAGAAAAGATACCATATATTCCAACATGTAGCTGTGGCATGTCATGATTTGATCGTGATGACGTTATCGCAGGGTTAGCCTAGTTAGTTAAGTTTTCAATCATGTTCAAGAAAAAAATGGAATATATTATTCAGAAGTAGTAGGAAAGAAGCCTCAGAGATGTGGTAACATTACCTGTATGTGATCATGACTACCATGTTGAACCAATACCGATGAACACGAGGTAGGCTGGTCTACCTTTCAAGGCAAATAGGGGAAAACGTGTGTACCAATTTTGCATGTGACAATCAAGACCCTGAACATCAATGGCGGTCTTAGATCCCTGTTCAGTCCCATGTGGCTGGGCAGGCAAGCAGGTACAGCCCTGGTCCACTGATCTTCTGGTGATCAGGCTTGACGGGTCTACCTAGTAGGAAGGTACCTACATTGTAGGTACATATGCCTGCCGGCCACCGACCCATCCACAACTTTCAGCCAATGGGTTAAAATAAAACTAAGCCTTTTCGGGTTAGACAATAAAACGAGTCTTGAACCGCCATCATGTTCGGTTTCTTCTATTCAATTGTTGCACGCTAATCCTTTCCCAATACAACTTCAAACAGCAATCTTCGTTGAACCTCTGCCATACCATTTTGCCAGTCGATTCAATCCCAAAACTTCAATCGTACCGTAGTATTTGCACCAAAGCATTGAAATCGGGATTCTCTTGCCATAGAATCAATCACCAGCCATGTCGTCGCTTGGCCTAACTCAAGAGGAGCTGAGAGCCGTCGAGCAGACGCGACAGCGCCTCTCGCAGCTATCTAGCAGCATCAACAGCCTCAAGAATGACGTCTTCGTCAGCCATCCGCTTCCCAATCTGTGTGTAGCCCTCTTCTCCCCCAACCTTCTTCGTCTTGGCTAATTGAGAGCTACCCAGAGACTCCCTGCAGGCCTCGGCCGACATCCTAAATCACAACGTCCGAGCTATCCTCGATACCCTAGCCCAGAACAATGATCTCTTCAGCCGCGTCGCTGTTCATCCGTCCACGAACTTCCCTGGCCGTACGCAGGAGAGCATCTTGCTACAGCTGCTCCGTAAGAAGCCCGAACCTGATGTCGAAGCCTCTATGGATGAGGGAAGGATGATGCTCGCCAACCTCCCTACACCTAATAATGCCATGCATGGAACCACTATGAACCAGGAGAAGGCGAAGGAGAAGGCGTTTGAGGATGTCTGGGGCGCTACACGCGATACCTGTGGCGTGCGCATCGCCGACTACGTCATGAATGAGGAAGGAGATTATTTTACGGCTGAGGAACATGAAATCGGCACTGAGAAGGTGCGGACAGGCCTCCGGCGAACCTTTGATGATGAATATGAAGATGACGATGATGACGAGAACGAGGAAGAAGGCGACGATGTGATGGTCATTGATCGGCCCCCGCCCCCGCCGGCTCCGGCCATTTCGACCCAGGAGGTTGACGGCTCAACAATTGAGACCATAATGCGACTCGCTACCCGTGGTCAGTTTGCTGGGTGACTGCGGTCCATTTCCCGTGTATGCACTGACCTGAAGATCCAGTACGCTAGTTGATTTGAATGAGATCCATTGGTGAATAGATGTGATTGAAAATCGAGAGATATGATACCTTCACGTGCGGCAGAGCGTAGTTTGGCATCCCGGTCACGTATTCTGCAAGTTTGCAAGCGATGACACCGGTTTATGAAGTAGAATTACCGAGGAAGCTTTGTCAAACCAAGAATGCAAGTAACGATTCACTTTGCTCGGGATGTGGCGCATTGACAGCTGGCTCACTGCCCAAGCTACAGGCCAGCTAGGCTGCAGGTGTACCGTGTTGAAGAACTACCCGTCACCTAGAGACCGCATGGCAAATGAAAAAAAAACCCCCCCTAAAAACCAAGGGTCCGATCCACCCATACTTCAGTCCCATGTAAAGGTGTAGGATTCTAAAGAAATAGTAGATAGCGTTCTCATGGGAGGGTCTTTAGGCTTGACTTTGTATCTGGAAATATGCATCAATCAGCGCCTCGCTTGAGATGGCGCTGGAACATGTAGTCTAGTCTAGCGTACACCGTCCTCGTCGAGGAGAACTCATATTAAGAACATAAATCTTATAATGAGAAAATTCTACACACTTTACCTTGCTCTAGAATTTGAATTGGCAGTAAAATGCCGTCACGGTGCTAATTACAGCCACTCACGAGTTTCTCATGACGAACTGTTTTAAAATCACGCTTTTCCCACCAAACAAAACATGCCCGGTTAGCTCAATCGGTAGAGCGTGAGACTCTTAATCTCAAGGTTGCGGGTAAGTTATTATTACTAGCACCAAAAAGAAAGATTGAGAATTTGTTTAAGTACTGACCTCTCGGCATAGGTTCGACCCCCGCATTGGGCTCAATTCCTGATGCCTCCTGGTTTACTGGGAGTAGTAACCATTTTTTTATTATTGATACTCTTTTTATTCGTATTCAACCTTTTTTTCCCGCTCTCTTTTGTTATTTTTTTTATTTTACTATACATTACTATTTTAACCTCTTTTTAGTGTTCTTTTCTCTGTGAAAAGAGATACATGTAGTTCGAGTATTAGCTTGTTTTACAGCATAAATAATTTTAAGGGGGGAAAATTAAGATACTTCAGACGCTAGGTTATCCTGATAGAACTTGAATCAACAACATGAGAAGTTCCTTTACACGGACGGCTATTTACTAGAGAATATTGATTTTGATAAGAATAACTAGGCCGTACGGCCTCAGTGTGCTTAGAAAGGGCAAGAACAAGATATCGTGAGTGTTCGGCAGAGTCGGTTAACTTCCGGTCTGATCCTCTTTCCCAGCCTTGGGGTATGTAACCCGGATAGCAGATCAGATCTTCCACGTACGACCATAGCCTCTAGAAAACTCGGGATCCCGTCCGCTCTCCCATAGATAAGCTAGAGAGCGCCAAATCAGTAGTTGGGTCGGTGACGACCAGCGAATCCTTGGTGTTGTACGTAAAATCTTTTTTCTTTCTGCCTCTCTTTTTATACATCCTTTTTCGATTTTGATGTGGTCTCGTTATTGTTAATTTTGATGGTGTAACATTGAAGTTAGACGTTCCGAGTAGAACGAGCTGAGATAACTCAACTATGTGGGATTTCTAGGTCTCTGATCGCGTATATCTCATGCTATCTACTTAGGCGAAGCCATATTTCCTGGCAGATTTGGTTTCTAGACTAGTGGTCGAGTTTTACTTGGGTGCATGGTTGTCATGATATTAGACTCGGCTCATAAGTCGCCTACAGGCCCCAGCCTATAACACTAGCGCATCAAATCTAATATTAAATTCAAAGCTGAATGAGCTGCAGCACAATTAACTCCATGTAGCACTAGACAAGTCATCGCGAGCTCGGTCACAGTTTGTTTTGCCGGTATGAGTATAGCATAGGCCTGCCATTCCAGCCCCCCACATTGCACCGCACTCCCACATAACGATAGCAAGGTCCCATAACTCTATAACCTTCTGCCCGTGGGGGTAGGCTATTTCGGCTGCCAGGACGGCTGCCACGTATTCACTCTCAGCCGGTAGACTATCAGCCCCTCTCATATAGGCGAGAACAGGTTCTACTAAGAGGTCGATTACAGCACGAGTTTCTGGCAAAGGGTCAGAGGAAAGAACGGATTGGAGCCTGGCCTCGGCGTTGGCGAAGTGCCGCGGCCCACGCTCGACCTTTGCGCCGCTGGATCGAAAGTGCTCCAAAGAGGGCCTCGCTCCCGGTATCATAGGGGCAATGCCCGCGTCGACACCGAGGTCTGTCCTGCCGAGGAGGGCGATAGGTCGGTGTCGACAGTTGGCAAGCTGCCACCAGTGCGTAAAGAGGATGCATAGAGCTGCCGGGTTATAAGGGTCGTTGTTCCGATACCAGATCATAGCACCAGTAAGGCGCGAGTATACCTCGACCAGCGGTTCCTCGGCCAAGGATCCCCGCGTCAAGGAAGGGATGATATTGCTCACTTCTCCGCACGCTATATCAGCTCCGAGATCAATCCAGTCGTGCACAACGCATCCAAGGCCGGCCATAGCAGCCATCTGTTCCCCGCCACCCGAATCGTAATATACGTGACAGAACACGGCATCCGCTACTTTGTAACGGGAAAGCCGGCTGAGATCGTCCCACACAACAATACACGGGGAGGAGCTGACGGCGTGGGCATCCTCTATTATTGTCTTCTGGCGTAGACAGCCATAATTGCACCCCTTGACGATCCTTATATCAGTGATGTGGGGGCCGGAGGAGTCGGCTGTTTCAGCAATGGCAGCTACCTCTGCGAAAGCAGAAGAGAGGGCGTCCGATAGCGCCTCGTCTTTAGTGCCTATGGTGTAGTCCAGGACGAAAGCCGAGTCCATAATAGCCCATAAGCCAGAGATTGAACCACCGTAGACGCCTCGGTTGTAGCCCACCGCCATGGAGAAAATGCTGGTGTTAACTAGGGAGCCTTTACAACCTTCCGATTCGAGGAGATCGACAGTGGCCTGGTCGGGCGATAGCGCTACGCCGCTCAGCTTCGGAGGGAGGGGCTTGCGGGCGGAGCACCACGTGGGCATTCCGATCTGCCGAACCTCGCCGAACGCTAGGCGCTCTGTCGCCCCAGTCCTCAATACATTATCCCGTGCTGCCAAGAGGGCCGCGGCGTCTGCTAACAGCCCAACAGCACAATCGACAGCGTCTGCAACTCGCGCATTGCGCATCCAAGAGATACTTGCGGCGGCGGCAAGAACACCCTCGGTCCGAGCGGTGTCTTCACGACGCGCCAAGGCGACCGTCGTTATCAGCGTGTCGGACTCCGCGAGGTATCTTTGAGAAAATTTACTTGACCCAGCCTCGACCAGACCTATGTCGTGACTCTTGAGCGACCAGCAGGGGGCTCCGAGAGGGGACTCCATGGTAGTCCCTTCTCCGATGACCTGAGCGGTACCCCATGTCGAAGAGAGACGGATGGTGGCGGCAGGATCCTCTGCCGAAGGCTCATCGGTGCGGTCAGCCCAATGGGAGACGGCTGGTAGGCAATCGAAAGCGGGCGAGCGACTACGACCACCGCTGACGACCAGCCCGGGTACTAGGTCAGACAATGGCTGATCTGAAGGATCACGTCCGTTTTCTCCATTCGTTGCTACCAAAGGCAAGCCGATCTCCCTTGAACGAGCAAGGATCTTGTTGAGTCTGGCCTGGAACTCGCTGGCTGGCTTGGGGTATCGCATACCCCACTTAGTGTGCTTGGCACCAGCCCTTTTGTGTCTCGATCCTAAAGGCGAGTACTTGGAGGTATTGGAAATGAAGTCGGTCACGTCGCGACAGGTCATCCGCTCACCGAAAGAGGGCTGATGGTTAGCTCGAGGGTCAACGATTCCACCACCGAAGGCCAGCCCAGGGAGGGCAGTCGTCCGGGCGATGTAAGGCATGTTAAACCTAGTATGAATTTTTGATCGATAAATGCGGTTCGTAGGTGGTGAGAGGGCGAGATATCGACTAACATCTAGAAAGGAGACTCTAACTAGGAAGCATGGTAAAAAGGGCCTCCAAAGGGGTGTTGGACAGATAAGAGGTAGCTGAAAATATTCATATTTCTCCTATTTTCCCACGAATCACGGTATCACGCTTGCTGTAAGTTGCTGCATTACTGTAAGCAGGGTAGAATTAAATCTAAGCTATAGCACTCTCCGTCTAAGTGTGCCTGCTTTGTAGTCTCGCCTTCGTTATAACTGGGCTTTTGCCATACGTGGGAGACATATCTGGCTGATCTGGCGGCTTTGGGAAGCTTGACTAGGTATCCAGAAAACGTAGTGCGGCGAGGAGCATTTGCTTGCTCCTTACCAGCCTGTCAGGCGATGGCCAGAACAATCGGAACGCCTCAATAACAAGTAGTTTATACCAAGCTTTAACAAATGCCAACACAACCACGAACGATTTGAGATTTAAGAGAGAAGGAATTTGTATTTAAAAATAATTAAATAATACTTTTAGATTTTTGTTATAATCTTTTTATGCTGGGTGCTGCGTAAACCTTTACGGTACTTAAGGATTAGAAAAGGCGTACACACTTTTGGGGCTGGGTTGTTCCGATTATTCTGGCCATCGCCTTCGATGTAACCGCGGGGGTTAGTGGCTGGTGCAGTTATTTGTGGCTGGGGTGTGGCTCAGCCACTCCAAACCAGGACCAGATAGGACCCTTTGGGTCCATCTAATTAGACAGGGAATTTAGAGAAATATAACTAATATTGTAACGTTATGGTTGGATGTTTTAAGACTCTGGCGGTACCTATAGTCAGGTTCTGTCCTTAGATAGATAGATTGTGCATCAACCATGGTTCAAGTTGGCTGGCATTGTCCCCGGTCTCTCACATCTGAGCATCAGCTGTGTAGATTTAGATGTTAATGGGCCTCGTGGCCTAACGATTGATTGGTGATTGGCAAATTTGTTAGACTCAACTAGGTGTAATAACTATTCATCTGCACCCCAGGCGATTTTATGGTGCACATGTGTGACGGCACTGACTTATTAAGGGAGGTACGAGGCATGCTCTAGTTTGAATGAAAACATATTGTGACGCAAATTTCGGTACTTTACATAAAAGAACTACGGTCATGTATGGTTTGTGTCTAGGTAATAGTAGTCATTTTAGTCACTCTAGATTGACTTTGTACTAACACGCTGGCATGTAAATATGCAGAAGAGGAATTACCGATCCTTGCATCAATATTCATGAATCACAATGTCTACAAATGCACGATTGAGACCATCAGTGTGACTATCACCATCGCCACGTCCTACATCATTGTTGAACTCTTCGCTCTTTCTCCCCCTCTCTGAAAAAAAAAAATCGGTTTATCTCCCCAATCTTAGATTCGCAACCACGACTTCTCAAACCAGAGACACAAAAAACACAATGGCATCCACTCAACCCCAGATAATCATGGAGACCGTCCCTGCCACACCAGCCTGGGGCCTCGTCTCTCTCTCAGCCGGTCTTCTCACCTTCATCTCCGTTCTAGCTACGCTCTGGGTAGCCAAGACCCCAGTTCTGCGCGCCCAGGCCCACACGATCCTCCTCTCGAGCCTGCGGGGCTTCGGCTATGGCGTGGGCTACTGCTGCGTCGGTGTCCTCTTCGCTCCCATCATGGTCCTCCACCACGTCGACAAGAATTAGGGAATCTGGCCGACTTGGTTCTGGGGACCTCCCTCGACCGTGGAAGTTAAAACGAATAAGGACAAGGACATGACAGCTCGGCGAAATTCTGCTGCTGTTAGTGAGTATGTTTCCCTCCCCCTTTTTCAAGAGTTCTTTTTCGGTAGGCTCTAGATTTATTCCTTCTGCATACCTAACTACCTGCTAAGATGGATATTTCTATGGGAAATAGT